TATATTAAAATTTAATGGGCTTCAAAACATAGCATACTCAAAACAATTCTAGAAAATCTGATTAAAAGGTTCCACATTGTGATGAACATTTATACAAATTCGTCGAATTTTTATAAATGTTCTACAAATTTGGAAATTTTAATTAACATTTTTTTTTTAGACAGTAAGTTATATTTTCATAAAAAATAATAAACATTTTAGAATTTTTTTTCTTGGTTTTGTTTTAAATAAAACTGTATTAAGCCTTTTTATTCTAAAAACAAAATTGTATGTTCGGATTCGATGCTTTAGAAATGTCCCGATTTTTGGCCACAGAAATCTGGTCACCGTATATATGGTCCATGTATGTACATATGTATGTATGTATCTACTTTGTCAGCCTTGTTAGTAGCAAGGTGAATATGTGAAGGTTATACCGCTGACTTACGCCGTTCAAGGGCGGAGGAAAAGTTGCGAAAATAAAAATTAAAACTGTCCTTCATCTCATCAAATGTTTTTCTCTATCTAGCCTATATAAGTTAAGGGGAAATTTATTAAATTCATAAAAAATATACATATGCGGGTTACGTACGCAGAGGGGACTATCTACTTTTTATGTTCTTCTTAATTTATGGTTCTATTGAAAAAGTTTGGATGTAATTTTTTTATTTATATTTAATACTAATACAGTGGCTAAATTTAAAAAATATTGCCAAATTATATTCATTTCAATTAAAAACCAAAATGCTCCGAATTTCCTAATTTGACCGCCGGAAAAGTGAAAAAGAGCAGCATATGCATCAACAAAATTGTAGAAGACTTTGACGGTTTGAATTAGTAATTGCAAAGAACATAGATAACTAGGAAGGTGGATATTTAATAGTAGTTTACGTCCCAACAAAACTCGGCTAGAAGGTCACCACTCAGCTGGTGCATTTATATACGTAAGTGGGTGTTACTAGAACAGTTGATTTGATATTTTTTTCTCTACGCTAGTACGGCACAATGTCAGCCAAGATGAAAAGGCGTAGCTTTAGGATTTCAACAAAACGAAATGACGAAAATTATCTCCTATTTTCTTTCGTTTTTACATCCTAAAGTAGCAAAAAGCAATAACAAACTTCTCAAACATTTGGTCAGTTATTTCAAATTTAAAAATCATCCAAATAAATTTTTGATATCCATAAATTGCAGGCAGATGACTTTGACCAGCTGGTACTCTTGCTGCAAGTAAACATATTTTCAGCAAGAATTAGGAACTTTCACTCAAAATCAACTGTCACTTCACGCTCTCAATTTCCCCTACTTTGCAAGTTTTTTTGGACACGCGAACCTCAAATCCTGATAATTTCTGATAACTAACTATCAGGTTGGGGTGGAATTTATTTCTAAATGTATACTTTAAAATAATACTTATATTAGGACTAATACAAGGATAAAGGTAAAGATGAATATTTAGATGAAGGAAAGGATAAAGTCTAAGGGGAAAATAGAGATAGGAATCATGATATGAAAATAAAAAGACGAAGATGAAAGTAAATAGGGGCCCCAAAATTAGCCCCTACTTTTGAACCCAATATAAATTCTGAACCAAAAGAAATAAATGAACGAAACACGATGAAAAATAATCGTTATTCCATACTGTATCAGCGTTTTCTGTGAGTTTACCTTCTATCAATCCCTAAAAATGATTTGGGCGTTTTATGGGGTCCCCCTTATTACAAGGATAAAGGTGAAGGTGAATATGTATATGAATAAAAGAATGAAGATAACAATAAAGAGGAGAATAAAAATAGAGATGAGGATGAGGATAAAAGATGCAGATGGAGAAAATGATAGAGATAGAAATGAATAAAAAGATGGAGAGAGAGATAAAGGTAAAGAGACAAAGATAAGATAAAGAACCAAAGGTAAAAGTACAATTTAAGATGAAGAAATGTTATGTTATGTTGCTATTTTTAGCTATAAAACCTGTGCTTTGCAAAGTTCCTATAAAAAGTCTAGTGCATCGTCGGTTGAGAGGTAGATGTCGCCCTATGCACTACGTACGCTACAGCGGAAATGGACGACACGCCATTTCTTTAAATGAAATTAATAATCTCTCTGTGTGCCAACGCCGCACATTAAATTTCATTGACTAAGTGCGTACATATCATTAAATCGTTAATAGTTGGGCATTAATTAGTCCCAACTAGTCTCATACGGGTACTAATGGAGGTCAATTAGTCTCGACTCATCACTTATGGGTATAATTGGAGATCAATTAGTCCCCAACTCATCTCTAACGGGTACTATTAACGATTTAATGATATGTACGCACTTAGTCAATGAAATTTCATGTGCGGCGTTGGCACACAGAGAGAGTATTCGCCTAACAAAACTGAGCACCCCGGTTCGAATCTCAGCTGGCGCAAATTTTTATTTTTATTTTTTAAAAGTGACTAGTCGCTTTTTATACCCTTTCGGGTATAAAGGTGAACAATTAGTCTCTTCATAGGACATGCTCGAACAAAAGCGAACAGTTCATTCCATATAAAGAGATCAAAAGTGGTATTAGTCGCATGCTCCTTTGCGATTGCTCCCAGAGTCATCCCGGATTAGTCCCATTTTTTGCAGGGATACGTTTATAAATAAACATATACACAACACATACACAAAAACGGCACTCACGTACACAATACATACCAGCTGTTGCGAATATTTGCATGCGCATTCGTTATGCGAATGATTCGCATCATTTTACACATTCGCATTCGCATTCGACATTAGCATTCGCATCAAATGATACGAATGTTTTGCGAATGCGAATGTGTACATGGTGGAAATTCGGCATTACGAAAGACTTTTGTCTTTCGAAAAACTGTGGTGAGTTGAAAGACAGTTACCAGAATTGCCCTGTAAATAAACTCAACTAACCTTAACTGACCTCAACTCAGCTCAGCAAAGCAAATCACAAATCAATTTTATTTCTGAATTGATCAGCGAATCAAATAAATAAAATTTATTTCTTGGTTTGTGATTTGTTAAATTAAAAATTACTTAAGCCAGTGTTATGTTATGTTAAGTTTGGAACGATGAAGAAACGATTCAAGTGAAGTTTCATTTCCTTAGCGCGGCCCCGTTGCAGTCATTCTTTGTGATGCTGAAATGCATGAAGTATGTACATATGTATGTATGTACATATCGAGCCCTAACCGCCAAAAAAACGTAAGCGACATTTTTTGCAAAATTTTATTTTTGATGCAGAAATACATCTAGATTCTCTAGAAACATTTCTGCATCAGAAAGAAAACTTTGAAAAAATGTCGCTTGCGTCTTTTTGGCGGTTAGGACTCAATATATGGGCGAATCCGAGGAATGGTCAACCACAAAGAATGCATGCAATTCGAATTCTCTCATTTTTGTGTCAAAAAAGGCATAGTACAATATATTCTTATTCCACGATTGAGAGAATACAAAGGTTGCGCCGATCTCGGACCGCTATTCCTCTCTTAACGAATTTGACAGAATCGTTGTTTGCATGACGTCACACTGGTGCAACTTGTTTACGTTTTCCTTGCAACATTTTTTCTTCTTCTTCCATTCTTGCTCACGTTTTGGCATTTCTCTCTCGCAATTGCACCAGTGTGACGTCACACAAAAGTTATTCTCAAAAATCCTCTCTGATCGGCGCAATCTTGTATTCTATCATTCTTGTTCTTATTCCATATTTCTTTTCACATTTATTTGAGATATCTGATTTGCCCCTCTTACTTCTTGAAACAGCTCTAAATAGCATTGGTTTTAAGCACTATATCTTTTAATAAAATACATCAATATCGCTTTAAGTAAATCAACTTTCTCAACGGAAAAAAAGAGTAACGTCCGTAACGTAACGTGCCGAATGCACATATACAATTGTTTTAATGTTAATCCAACCTTTAGTTTGATTTTATATCACATTTTGTAAACTTCATTATTTTCTCTTCAAAGTAGTTTTGTAGATTGTGCTCTCCATGCATGACAATTTGCGCAAATCGGTTGACTTTGATGGTCATATCAAAATCCTTTTTCAGTAACGTCCGAACATAAATTTCGAAGGCAAATACACCGATATAAGGTTAATATTATTAACTCAAATTCAAATTTCCATCATTTTGTTGTCATAAGTACTGCTATAAACCTTCCCTTAAACCAGAAAAAATTTTTAACCTATAATATTTTTGACGGCAAAAAAGTTAAAAGAAACGTCCGAACGCAACATCCGCAACGCTAGGATTTGCCCATCTGCTCTAAGGGCATTCCAGTGTCAAAAAAAAAAATGTTGAAAAAAATGTCGCTTACGTTATTTTCGCGGTTAAGGTTCGATACAATCAATGGATTTTTATAGCACTTTATGAGCAACAGCTCTTAGTTATGGTAGCATATGTATCTATTTTTTCAACAATGTAGCCTACCATATTAGCAGGGTGCAAACTTTAGAAAAAATGCCGGCAAATTTTAAATTCCACGTGAGAAGTAAATTATGTTCATAAAATAGTTGGCGTATAGCTTACAGGGTACCGACAATGTTTTTATATTCATTAAATACTCTTACAGTTAGAATTTCAGATCAATTGGGAATTATGCTCTAATTTTTGTGATATGGGGTAGTGTGCATATACATATGTATGTAAGTACATTTTAAATTACTAACACATACATGCATATATACCTACATGCACAAAAAAGTGTGTTTAATATAACAAATTCTGATTTTCAATGCACTTTATTACGGTTTCTAAGAAAAAATTATAGATTGGTACTGGTATGTAAGTAAGTATATTTGTATGTAAATATACTTCCAAAAATCATAGAGAGTAATGTATATCTCTTTATACATATGTATGTATGTATGTATATATTTATATACATGCAAACTTTACTTTATTAAATGGATACAAGTTTCAAAGCTATTGACACTACATTAACGATAAATCACGTCCATTCAAAGTGCAAAGTAGCAGTTAGCATTATATTAAAAATGTAACTTTACACTTTACCTTTTTCGAGATTGCTACACCCTTCTAATGTTGTTTGTTTGTTCTCTGATCGGCCAGCACTTTTTTGATACCCGCCCTATCTCAATCAGATGGGTAAAATCAATGCTTGCAGCCGCACAGGGGCTGAAATCTTATTGACAAAAACACTCAAACTTCAACAGCATTTTACTATGTATTTATATATATACATACGTATGTACTTATTTATGTACGTAGTAAATGCAAAACTCTTGCTTGAATTCGAAACGATTTACACTTTGCACAGAATTACATTGCATTAATTTAGCCCCACTTTCGGTTTGTTTATAGCTATTTTATCATCAGCGTAGTTTTGTATTATTATTTTCATAGGCCCACTGTGCCGCTCGCCGCACCAAACAACCGCTCGCCGTAAAATTCCGTTAACTTGTGTTGCGAAAATGTGAAAACTGCAAGAAATAAGCATTGTTGCTGACCGAGAAGAGCCGAGCACGAATACGTGAAGTCGATGCAGGGTGAACCAAAGAAAAATAAAACCGCGGAAATTATAAAGCATTTAGCACACTCGGTGCCAGTGTTGCTGGTCATATTCGGTTTCCGGTGTAAGGCGGTTTTGCACAAAATTAAAAAAAACCCAAAACCTGATGAAGCAAGAAAATATTTAGAGTCAAAAATTATCACTACTGTGGAATACAAATGAGTATAAGACATTGGATGTACATAAATATGCACCAGTTCTAACTTCCATTCTTACTTATAGAGCGTTAGTATGGCAGAAAGTGGTAAATATGAAACCTCATATGCTCAATTCGCAACAGGTGCAATGTCTATCATGTCTAAAAATATGTAAAGTAAGCACTTGTCGATTCTAGTTACAACTTCGACCGCCGCACAGTGCTGTCAAAATTCAAAAAAGCGGCCAAAATTCGAAGGTTTAAAGAAATGATACGAAATTTGGTAATAGGGGGTTTCCGAGGAAGTTAATTACGTACAGTTCGTACATATACTTCAAAAGTGATAAGTGTTTGTGCAAATTT